ACTGACAGCAGAGAGCCTGATGCATGACCCAGATTCACAAACTGAGATCATGACCTGAGCTGAAGTTGGACATTTAACTGACTGAGCCACCCAGGAGCCCCTGAAAGTGTACAATTTGATAAGTTTTAACATATACACCCATGCAACCATCCTGAAATCAAGAGAGTATATCTATCACCTCTGAAATTTTTCTCGTATTTCTTTGTAGTCTGTCTCTCCAGTGATCTCTTATTCCCAAGCTGCCATGGATTTTTCTTCCATGTATTTTGACATGTTGTATTTTTATTTCCATTGATTTAAAAATACTTTCCAAATTTCCTTTTTTTTCTTCTTTGACGCATGTGTTATTTAGAATAAGGTTCATTTACAGGGCGACTAGGTGGCTCAGTCAGTTAAACCTCTTACTTCGGCTCAAGTCATGATGGTTCATGGGTTCAAGCCCTGCGTCAGGCTCTGTGCTGACAGCTTAGAGCCTGTAGCCTGCTTCAGATTCTGTGTCTCTCTCTGTCTCTGCTTCTGCCCCATTTGTGCGTGTGTTCTCTCTCTCAAAAATAAACATTTAAAAAAAAAAAGAGTAAGGCTCATTTCCACATATTTGGGGCTTTCCTAAGATCTTTATGTTACTGCTATGTAATTTAATTCCATTGTGGTCAGAGAACATACTTTGTATGTCTTTAATCATTTGAATTTTTTGAGATTTATTTAATAGCTCAAAATATGATCTGTCTTGGTAAATGTTCACTGTACACTGGAGAAGAATATTCTGTTGTTGGGGTAGAGTTCTATAAATGTCAGTCAATTCAGGTTTTTATTCAAGTCTGTAATATCCTTGCTTGCTTCAGTCAAGTTCTATCAGCTGTTGAGGAGAAGGTATTGACATTTTTTAAAATAATTATGTATTTGTCTCTTTTCCCTTTTAATTCTATCATTTTTTGCCTCATGTATTTTGAAGCTCTATCAATAGGTGAATAAACATTAAGGATTTTTATGTTCCCTTGATTAATTGACTCCTTTATCATTATGATATAATCTTCTTTATCTCTGGTAATTTTTTTTCTTTTTAAGATTTTATTTTTACATTATCTCTACAACCCAATGTGGGGCTCAAACTCACAGTCCCAAGGTCAGGAGCTACATGCTGCCCCAACTGAGCCAGCCAGACACCCCACCCTGGTAATATTTTTTGCTTTAAAATCTACATTGTCTAATATTACCATAACCACTTTGGCTGATTTCCTCCCTCCTTTTTTATTGAGATGTAATTTACATCCCATTCATTTCACCATTTTGAAGTATATGATTCAGTGGTTTTTAGTATATTCATAATTGTGACCATTTTTTTTTTTAAATGTTTTATTTATTTCTAGCAGAGAGAGAGAGAGACAGCGTGAGCAGGGGAGGGTCAGAGAGAGAGGGAGTCACAGACTGAAACAGGCTCCAGGCTCTGAGCTGGCAGTCAGCACAGAGCCTGACGCGGGGCTCGAACCCATGAACCGCGAGATCATGACCTAAGCGAAAGTCGGACGCTTAACCGACTAAGCCACCCAGGCGCCCCAATTGTGACCATTTCTTAAGACTTGTTATTGATGACCTTGCCAGTTTTGAGGAGAACTGGTCAGATGCTTTGTAGAGTGCCCCTCAGTTGGAGTTTGCCAGATGTTTTTCTCATGATGAGACTGCAGTTAACATGTTTGGGGGTGGAAGGCTACAGAGATAAAGTACTGTTCTCATCACATCGTAAGGGTACATACTGTTAGTATGATTTAACACTGTTCATGTTAACCTTGATCACCCGGCTTGAAGTAGCGTTTGTCAGGTTTCTTCATTGCAAAGTGGCTCTCCTCCCTTTCCACACTGTGCTCTTGGGAGACACGTCACTGTGCAGCTGAAATCTAACCAGTGGGAAGTTATGCTCTGCCTCCGTGAGGCGAAATAGCTATGTAAGCCAGTTAGGGTTTTTCTACACAGGAGATTGTCTGTTCTACCCCCATTTATTTACTGAATAATTTATTTTTATCAGTATAGACTGCTGGATATTTGTTTTATACTTTGGGTTATAATCCGGTACCACTTTGTTTTGTTGGTCCCATTGTTTCAGCTTTTGGCAGCTCTTCCAGTTGGCCCTGTTAACCCTTTGACATACTTCCATCATTGTGGTTTTCTTGAGCACTTTCTTACTTTGAGTAATTAATAAGATGCTCCAGGGCCATCTTTTATATTTTCTTTCTAGTCCTTTCTGGTCTCTAGAAATTAGTCATTTCTCCAAGGGGTCCTGGTTACTTTTATAAAGAATGGTATTAGAACATCTGGGTGGTTTGCTGCTATTGTAGGTTGGAAGGTTTTTGTTTTTATTTTGTCTCGCCCTCCCAGCTCTCCTAGAGCTGAGCCTGCTGACTTTTATAGTTCCAGGTCTTAAACTTCTCTGATGGTAAGAGCTCATGAAATTCAGCCCCTCTGGTTTTCAGTCCAAATATTATGGGGATTTGTCTTCCCATCTTCCTGTGTTAATTCCCTGTGTCTGGGATGCCTGGTGTGAGGGTCTGTTTCTCTCCCCTCTCAGTACCCAGCACCTTCGGCATCTCATGGGCAGTCCCGCGGGTCCATTTATCTCTCCACTATTTCTCTTCCGTTCCTGCCATCCTCGGTGTGGCCTCTTCCCTGCATTTAGCTGTGGAGAGTCATTCTGCCAGTCCTCAGGTCATTTTCTGGGTTATTGACACTAATGTGCCTGTTATCTAGTTGTATCTGTGGGATGAAGTAAGCTTCGGGTCCTCCCAGTCTGTCATCTTCCTGGATGTCTCTGTTTAGTTTCTGTCTAGAAGCCTCTGTTCTATTTTATTTTATTTTTTTAAATGTTTGTTTATTTTGAGAGAGAGAGAGAGAGAGAGAATGAGAATGCCCAAGCAGGTGAAGGGCAGACAGAGAAGGAGAGCGAGAGAATCCCATACAGGGTCTGTGCTGAAAGCACAGATTATGACCTGAACTGAAATCAAGAGTCTGATGCTCAGCCAACTGAGCCATCCAATGCCCCTAGAAGTCTTTGCTTCAGATGGAGGTGTGGCATTCACAGTTTTGTGCAACCACCACCTCTGTCTAGTTCCAAAATATTTCCATCACTCCAAAATAAAACCCCATATCCATTAAGCAGTTATGTTCCTCAGCCACTCCCTGTCTTCCTGGTAACTACCATTTTGCATTCTGTTTCTATGGATTTACCTATTTTAAATATTTCATATATATGGAATTATACAATATGTGATGTTTTGTGCCTGGCTTCGTTCACTGAGCGTAATCTTTTCAAGGTTGACTTATGTTCTAGCATATATGATTATTTCATTTCTTTTTATGGCTGAAGCATATTTCTTTGTGCGTGCTTCTGCGTGTGTGTATGTGTGTGTGTATACATACCACATTTGTTTATCAATTCATCTATAGATGAACATTTGAACATCTCACATGTTGAGTTGTTCAAATATTTTGGCCATTGTGAGCAGGGCTGCTATGAACAATCATGTGCAGCATTTGTTTGAACACTTGTTTTCAGTTCTTTTGGGCATATACCTAGGAGTGGAATTACTGAGTCATATGTAAATTTTATGTTTAAGTTTTTAAGGAACAGCCAACCTGTTTTTCACAGAGATCGAACCATTTTTACTTTCCTACTTGTAATGCATGAGGGTTCCGATTTTTCCATATACTCACCAGTGGTTGAAAAGTTTTTAAGTAGGGAGGATAGGTTTTATAAAGAGCACTCTGGCTCCCAGGTGGAGAATGGATTGTAGGTGGCAAGGGCAGAAGCAGAGAGAACAGTTGCCCTGGTGAATGATGATGATGACTTGGACTAGGATGGTGATAGAAGCAAACAGATGGGAGAGGTGTTCTTGAGGCACAACCGATAGGACTTAGTCTGCTGGTGAAAGAGAGAGGAATCAAGAATGATTCCAGATGTCTGGCTAGGGAACCTGAGTGGATTGTTTTGTCATTTACCAAGATGGGACTGAGTATGGAAGTATGACCTGGGGAGAAATCAAGGCCTAAGATTTGGGCAAAAGGCCGAAGGTAGTAATGTGATTTGGCCTTTATTTTATAGGGGTGCTGCTCCTTGCTGTGAGGTGAGTCCTGTATCTGGCCCTGCTTCTCCTATCTATCTTTGTGTCTACAATCTGAGTTCTTTTGTCTCCAGAACAGACACTGAGCACAAGGGATGGTCTTTGCCTGGTGTAGAGATCACAGTTCTGTTTCTCAGTATCCCTTTTCCTTACTTTTCTGTCATTCTTTGCATTTATTGGTCTCTTTAAAAGGAGTTTAGCTTAGCTTTCCTCTCCCAGCCACTTGGCATGGTGTATAGTTACTGAACTGGGACCTAGATCATTTGCTGCCCTGGTCATGGTATTGTCAGGCTCTTACCTGCCCTTTGCCATCTAGCTTTTAGGATTTGGACTGTGCCCCTCTGTTTAGCATGAGATGATGGGGGAAATTGGATTCTATCCCCTTTGTGATTTTCATGTTGGGCCAATGGGCAAAAGAAAGCATTTGGAGTCGGAGAGGGGAGAGCAGAGATACAGGAAGAAAAGTCTTAATTATTGTCAGGATTGTCCCTTAGTGCCCTAGATAAATTAAGCCTGAGTTTTGTTGCCTCCTCATTCATACTATTAATTTTTAGGTCCCTGGTAGGTAGGTCTTTTACTAATTATAAGCCTAAGATGAAATTCCTATTTGTATGAATTGAAGACAAATGAGTCTTTTTTTTTTTTTTTTGCATGAAAACAGGTTAATTATTAAAGAAGTGATTACAAAATGCCAAAAATCCCTGGATTCTTGCTTTTCTTGCACTTGTTAATTCAAGATATTGTTGGTGAGATTCCAAAGAATAGTTGACATGTTCAGAACACTATTCTACTTGGCTCCTTTATTGATAAGGATGTCCTTGGCTCAATATTTCTTAGAGAAGTTTTAGAATGCTTTCATTCTGGAAAATTCTCTGGCATCAAGTGCTGGGTTTAGTTTGCTGCCTGAAGATCGTTCTGTGAGGAGATAAGAGACAACTTAATTATATACTTTTAAGTATATAAGCTCACTGCAGGCCTGGGCTAAGCTACCAGTGCACTCCATCCCCCCCTGCCCATAGCACTTGCTTCATTCAGGGTTGGAGATATGGAACAAGTCCGGTTAGTGAGAGACCCAGAGGTTATTTTCATGTCATTGTTTGAGCTCTTCCAGAAGGAAATGGAAAGTAAAGCTCCTGGAAGGTGGAGACCTCCAGGTACAACCAAAACAGAGCCCACCAGAAATAGTAGAGGCAAGAGATAGATTCTGGTGTCGTCGTCGGTGAATGAGGCCACTTATAATCAGGCCATTACTTATAATTTATTGTTGTTGCATAAACCAGTTCTGGTTGGGCTATCATTTGTAGCTGGAACACAGTTGATATTCATCTAATTCAATCCTTTGACTCAAGACTGAGTTTGGGACACTAAGTGATATGTCCAAGGCCACTCAGAACCATGGAGTGTAAGAGCAGGAGGTGGAAAACCAGCATTGAGGCAAATGCTGATTTACTCCACTCTGTACTCTAATAATTGATTTGGCCACAGATTCAGGGAAATTTGGAGGTTAAGTGAAAACCTGAATATATAACTTCTGAGGTTTGAGCCAAAATAGAAGAATTTGTCTTGGTTAGATTATGTACTTGATAAGCATGTTTATCATGAATGGAATATCTAAGGGTGATGGAGATTTAAACTTCTTTACTGTCATATATGTTTCCTAGTTCCATCCTCATAATTTACCGTTTTCCTGGTGACATTTAAATAAATCCCATTCTTTTACCTGTCTTTTAGGAGGCAAGTTCTGTTTGAAATTTTCTCTGGGTTTAGGATTAGATAGATGGGAAGAAGGGGGAAATTTGAGTGAGGGTGGCAAAGATGTTTCCAAAGAAATGATTGAGGCATATTCAGAAAAGTATTAGAGTCCTCATGGGGACAGTGGATAGATTATTTGATTATACATAACCAAGAGTGTCACAGTGTTAGGACTTGTGACTAAGGTAGGCAATGAATCTGCCTAGGAGAATGGGGAGATTAGTTGGAGCCAGTAAGACAGCCTGGAACAGACTGAGGTTAAGGCCCACTGGCCCCATTCATTCCTGTGAAGATTGAAGTGCAGAGTAGACCTTAGTGCAAAAGGATAATATTGGAATTTCTCTCTTACCGATTTAAGTACTGTAACCTTGACATTGTTTAGAGGAGTTGAGGTTAGTCCTGGTGGAACATTCCATGCACTTGTCAGTTCTAAAATAAAGAAGGAGAGTGGGGCGCCTGGGTGGCTTAGTCGGTTAAGCGTCCGACTTTTGCTTAGGTCATGATCTCGCAGTTCGTGGGTTCGAGCCCCGCGTTGGGCTCTGTGCTGACTGCCAGCTCAGAGCCTGGAGCCTATTTCAGAGTCTGTATCTCCCTCTCTCTCTGACCCTCCCCTGCTCACGCTGTCTCTCTCTCTCTCCTAGAAATAAATAAAAATTAAAAAAATAAAATAAAGAAGGAGAGAAAATGTGATGAGTTGAAAGAAACAATGACCAGGCTGGATTGTTTTAGCCACAGTCAGCCGGTGGGATCTCTGATCAGTGCACAGATCTAGGAGAAATCTCTCCCCTGCCCATTCAATGGACAGATTTCAGACAGTTTCTTAGACTTGTGTGTGTGTAAGGGTGAGCTTACAAAGATCAGAAAAGACCCTAGAACTAACTGGAAACCAAATGGGTATTCTATGCACAGAGAATCAGTATTAAGAGACATCTAGGCATGTCTGCCTTCACTAGCTGAAGAAGAAGACTCTGCTGTTTTGGTGTCATTTGCACTATTTTGAACCCCTCTAGAGTTCACCACAAATATGTACAGATGGCATTTTGTACCATCATCTCTTGATGGTTGTGACATTTATGATCTCAGTCTCGAGTTTCTCAAACTCCAGCATCTGTGTGACTAGGTGATCAGGTCCAGGTTTCCTCCAAGTGGTAAGAGGACCCCTTACCACTGAGCTACATTTCATTAGGACCTGTAGAAGAGGCACTTAGATTTAATTTCCATGTTTTGCCATCTCAAGATTTGAAGTCCCTATCTGAAAACAAAGAAGTGATTTTCAGTCCAGATGGTGATTGGATGATACTGTGCTCAGTGCCATGGGACGTTCTGTAATGTGGTTTCACACCCATGTCCCTTTCTTATGACTCTTCTAAATGTTTACATTATTATTTTTTAAAAAGATATTTTACTTTTTAAAATGTTTATTTCTTTTGAGAGAGTGCATGCAAGTGGGGGGAGGGGCAGAGAAAGAGAGGAGAGAAGAGAGTCCCAAGCAGGCTCTGCATTGTTGGTGTGGAGCTCAATCTCATGAACCATGAGATCATGACATAAGCCAAAATCAAGAGTTGGATGCCCAACCGACTGAGCCACCCAGGTGCCCCTTAATTAATTAATTTTTATTTTTTGAGAGAGAGAGTGTGCAAGTGGGGGAGGAGCTCAGGGGGAGGGAGGGAGAGGATCTTAAGCAGGCTCCACACTCAGCACAGAGCCTGACATGGGGCTTGATCTCGCGACTGTGTGAGATCAAGAGTTGGACACTTAATCAACTGAACTACCTAGGCGCTCCTAAGTGTTTATTAATTTCACATACCATTAAGGGCAGATAAGCATTTCTTCACAACCTGAAGCAATATATCTTGCACCTCAGCCTCCTGGAAGAGATAGGAGGGACATTTTTATCAGTACATCTTGGGTGCCTCTCATGTGTGTTTTTTTCCTAGTGGAAGTAATCTATTACTGGACAAGGCTATGTGGGGAGGTGGATGTTGGTTAATCTCTCAGGCTTCTTCTTTGGGGGTTTTCCAGAGCTCTTCAGTAGGTTTTGATGCCTCAGGTGGCTCCTTGAACAAATGTTTATGGGGTGCTGTTATGTTCTAGACACTGCTGCAGGCTCAGTGATGCAGTTGTATACTTTCAAGACAAAGGCTGAGTTCAGTGTTGGGAAGGACTGATTGTTGCTGAGCCTACCTCCTTTGCATCCCCTCCAAAGGTCTCCCAGATCTGCTTCTCTCTGCTGGCACTCTGCTTACCTTTCCCATCTTCAAAAGGCCTATGATTTCTTGATGCCTACCTTTGTCACGTTCTGTTTCCTCTATCTGGTACACACTTTGGGTCTGTGCTAAACTTCTCCTTCTTCAGGGCTAAGTTCAGGCATCATCTCAGGGAACGTACTGTCTGCTTCCGAGTTAGTGCTCTCTCTACTCTGTCATTTTTATGCTACATTGACAACTTTCTGCATAAATGTCTGTAACCCCTGGCAGATGTGTAGTTACATGAGGTTAGGAATCATGCTTTCTACGTTCCTTCCCCTGCACAGAGTCTGGCATGTTACACAGCTGTCCAGAGGTAAAGATGAGATGAAGGATCACTGGGCTTGTGACACCTCCCAGAGTCTGTCTGTCAACTGACTCCTCGTTATCTTGGGGCTGACATATGAGATGCAGACAATCCCCATAGTCACCCATAGTCATAAGGTTTTTCACTTCTGGGTGCCTGTTGTATGCCTCCACCCAGGGTGTGGCTTCTAGACTCCTTGTGATTTAGCTGATATGTTTATGATTTTCATCTGTCTCTGTTTTCCTACTTAAATTTGAGGGTCACTGTTAGAGTCAGGGATCTTATCACTATTTCATGTTGTATTCTAGGGCTGGAGACATTGTGGTGTTCCCCGAACATTTGTTGAATGAAGGCATGAACATGTACAAGATCAAATATCTTAAAGGAGGATGTGGGTGGCAGACTTCCTGGGAATTTCCTGGAGCCCATTCCCTCACTCTCCCCACTTCCTCATCTCCCAGGCTCTTATCTGGTGATCCATGTGCTCACTCTGAAGGGCTACTGATGGGAACTACTGACGGGAAGGGTGAGACTGGGTATATCTGTGAGCAACTCCCATGAGCCCAGGCAAGATTAGAATCTAGATCACCGTTTCATTCTTCCAGGACTTCTTGTGTATCAGAATCACCCACAACACTAAAAATGCAGGGATTTAGGCCTTCCTTATTTCACTGACTGAATGTGGGACTCTAGTCATGGCTTTGGGAACTAGTTTGAAGCTCTCCAGAGAGGGTTTAGGTTTGGAACATGTAGTCCTACGCCACACTGCATCTGTGACCAAGTGTGATCTTTTCCTTTCCAGAGTCCCTGTGTCACTGAGGATCTGACATTAAAATAATTTCTCACATATAGATATTTTCAAAATTGAATCAGCTTACAGTCTCAGAGGGTGTCACCATGTCTTCAGAGCTGTCAGGAAACAGAAGTATAAGGAAAAATTATTTTCACATAAAAAATATCAACCAGTTCTAGAGTTTAGGTATTAACTCACTTCTCAAGGCCATTTATAAAATGTCAAATACAGAGGAGAAAGTAATTTTAAAGTGAGTAAAACTCCATTTTGACTTCCCTGTAGTTAGGCAGGTATGCCCCAAGCGCCTTTTCCATTATTTTTCTCGTGTGATTTGAATTGGGTTCTTGATATTTATTTTTATACTGACACATGTCAAGAGGACTTTGTAGTTAGACAGTACCTTACAATCTTGAAGTCTGTTATCAGTTTGTCTTTTGAAATCTTGCTGTCATGGGAGATGATTAAGGTCTGCATTAATATAAAACAAATATACATTAAAAATAGTACCTTACGGGGCACCTGGGTGCCTCAGTTGGTTAAGCATCTGACTTCGGCTCAAGTCATAATCTTGCAGTCTGTGAGTTTGGGCCCCACGTCAGGCTCTGTGCTGATAGTCCAGAGCCTGGAGCCTGCTTTGGATCTGTGTCTCCCTCTCTTTGCCCCTCCCCCGCTCATGCTCTGTCCTTTCCATGTAACTTGTGCTCCCATTAGGTCCTTCTCACAGCTCAGTCCTGATTTGTTACTCGATACTTACCCTTTCCACAGTAGCAAAATTCTCACCATCCTTTTCCACAGGAACCCAGAAGGTGACTTGGAGTTGGTTGCCTGACTTGAAGGAGTAGGCTATTTTGGTGATGCTTGCAGCCATGTTATTGGTCTGTTGTAAAGAAGTCATTATTTAGAGAATGGAGAAGAAGGAGGGCTGCAGAACGGTACCTCATGACATACCTGTGTATCATTCAGTTCATTTATTCAGATACTTATTGGCTCTCTAGTATGTGTCGGTCACCTAGGCGTGTACTGGTGCAGTGGTTGTGACCACAGCAGATAGGGTGATTCCAGAGATTTTCCTATATCTCATCTCCTTTCTCAGAAGGACAGTAGGGTATTTAACACATAAAATTTTGCTTTTCTGTTACCCTTTATCCAGCTTAAACCCATTTCTTTCTATGCTCTTGGCAGAGCACTCTGCATTTAATCATTCTGGAGACCTGGTTAAGGAAACCTTGTACATTGCTGAGACAGAGCCTGGCCCATAGAAAGTACTCAGTGATTATTATTTTCTTGTTATTACTGCCTCTATTCCTTCTATCACCTTTGGGGCCTGAAACAAATGAACACCGACTGTTGGTAAGGTACTTCTCTCACTTTGGTTTTCTGTAAAATGGGGACAAGAATTCCTACCTCCTGGGGCCATTGTCAGGATGAAATGACACCTGGCTTTGTACTTGGTATGAAGCAGGAACTCAGAAAACATTTGTCCTCCTTTGCCCCTACTCTCTGCTAGCCTCAGTGTTCACAATATCCATTAATAAGATCATCATTAAGAGAAAAGCTGTATCCCACTACCTTTCCTCATATTTATCTCTGGAAGAATATTCTAGAACCCACTGCATTTTTACCTTTCTCTCAGAGTTTGACAGACTAGGCTTACGCAAATAGGAGAATGGTGCTGGGGCCATGTAGATGAGGCTTACCTTGGTGGAGCTCTGCTTGACACTCAGTGTGATGATAATGTTGAGTAATTTATGGGACAGAGTTAGAGAAATGTTGGCATTTTTAGGATCTGGTGGAAGGGGACTTCCAGGTACAGGGACTATATTTTTGTTAAAGAAGGCTTTAGCCTAGAGAAAGAAAAGCAGAGAAATCCCTGTCATCGTGTGAGACTAACACCAGTTTCTATGTCTTTGGAGGCCTGGCTGAGATGTTGAGGAGCGAAGCAGCCCCCTCTGAGCACTGCAGTGGGCAGGCATGATGACAGGCAGCAGTAGACCTCCTCCTTCCGCCCCCCCCACCCCCCAGCCTCTCTGTTGGGAGTCTGTAGGAAGTGGTGGGGTTTGTGGAGACTGGAGAGTAGAAACCTTTTGTAAAGGAGGAAGCACTGCTCCTGTACAGCTGATTGGCCCTGATGCAGTCCAGCTTAGGGCCACCAGACCTCTGATTGTTGAAGAGAAGCCATAAATCCTCATTTTTGAGATGAATTCCCCCATGCAAGTGTTCTTTAAGTAGCATATATTTCGTGAATTCAGGGATGTCTCCAGCCCTCCTATGGAATCCATCATAAGCACAAAGAACACTTACACAGTACAAGACTGAAAGACCTTGTGCAGAAATCCTGGAACTTTTAATGTTGTACTTGAACAAGCCAGTAGCTGCAGGTGGGAGGAAAGAGAACAAATGAGAGAGAAAAGCTTGCTGCCAAGGCACCAGTTTCATCTACCCTGGGACTTGAGAAGTGTTACCAGTTTCCTGCTTTGGCTGTCTTGGCAGCTGCTGTCCCACTATGTCCTGCCATTCCTGTCTCCCGGATATATTTGAGGACATTGGAGGGAATCTTTGCTTCTCAGCTTCCCTGGCGTGAGTGAGGCCTAGGATCCTCCTTACTCCGATTTCTGCACACATATGCACTTGGCAAACCATTTGGGTGGTGGGGCTGCTGCAGACTTCTAAGGGGCTCTGTGCCCTCCTCTGTCCTGGAGAATGTGCCATAGTGGTTCAGAGAAGCCAGTTAGTTGCCACCCTTTCTGCCCTGAGAGTCCTAAGGAGGGTTTGAGTGCCTTGGAGGCACAAGGTAGTGTAGCTCACAGCTGCCCACTCTCCTGTCTGTCATGTGGTGAGATCCCCAAGGAGCCCTCCATTGACCCATGAGCACCAGGGAGGTCCGGTGTTTGTACTCACAGTTCTTGCATTCGTTGAAATCACTGAAATCAATGTCACACGATGCCGTTCCTTGAAGCTGTGAGATCACCACCAATGAGTTTTGCCAAGGGAGTGCGCAGTCCTGTCCTCATCCCCCTCAGCCCAGATCATCTTCCCCTCCTCCCCGTCCTCTTTCCCTTCTCCCTGTCTATTTGTTGGGCTTTTCTATGGCAGAACTTATCCTCTCACCCTCCCAGCATGAGGCCTTATCCTGTCCTGCTGCTGGGGTCTTTTAGAGCCAGAATGGCTCTAAATTCGGGACTCCCGAAGGCCCGCCGTCTCTTCTTGAGTCTCTCTCAGCATCAGGACCAAATCACTTTTCCCCAGTGACCTAGACCTCTGAGGTGGTGATCTCCTCTTTCCAAACACTTACATTTTCTTTCATAGCTACTGTCAACACTTCAGAAACGATTTGGTCCAAAGGCAGAGGCACTGGCAAAGTACTTGTGACCCTGGGAAAGATAGGTGGAAAACTATGTGATTGTTGCATTTCTGGGTTTTGCCCACACATTGGAGAAAACCCATCTATTCATGAAACAGCTGCATGATGTCCTGCTTCTTAATTTGTACAAACACCTGAGCCCTTTTGTCTACAGTTTCAGTCATTGAGGAAGATACTACAAGGATCTCTGGGAAAATTACCAATGCCTGACATCTGACCCAGCAACCCCACGTAGAGGGATTTATCCTTCAGAATCTCATTCATGTTAGTGAATAGACCTGTCTGACACCTTACTAGTTGGAGTTGGTTACAAAAGTTAATAGTTGAAAAACACAAGTATTCCTTGTTAAGGGACTGTTAAATTACAGTGCATCTTCATAATGAAATACAAGGCCATAAAAAAAAAATGAAGCTATTTATATATTGATGCAGCAGATTCCAAGCTATTTTTTTTTAAAGTGAAGCAATCAGAGTCCAAAATGATATATATGGTGTTTACCCCTTTCTGTGTGTGTATACATACACACAACTGTACATAGGATATAGTATCTCTGAAAGCCAATGGAAGAGACTAGGTCCTTTTGTTGCTTCCAGGGAGAAGTATTAGCCAGCTGATATACATGGGTGGGAGGAAGACTTTTCACTGTATGGCTTTTTGTATCTTTCGAATTTTGATCTAGGTGAATGTATTGCTTAACCAAAAAGAACAAAATACAAATAATATGCTTAGCAGAATGCAGGCTGAGTGAGAGAAGGTTGTTTTCAAACATAGTGGGTATCCCCAAACAGAGACTGCTCACTGGGACTCCAATAGCTGATCATTCAATTCATTGGGTGGCCAAACTCTTCTCTAAGGGTGGTATCAATGGGGACATTCTGGCATGTATTGATATAGAAAATGAGAAAAATGGTCTCACATACGTTTCCACTAGCTGAAGGGTCACTTTCTTGAACTTGATGTCCTTGTCCTGGACTTGGAGGTTGACGCATTGGGTATTGTTCGTGGAAATGCCAATTTTCAGAGTTATATCGCTGTGTACTTGATATCCCAGTAGGCTGACTACAGGTCCTGCTAGTCTGTGGAGAGCAATATGTAGGTGAGACCAGGCCTGGCACCAGGATAGCACTCAGGCCAAGCAGTGGGCATTTTGGGACTCAGCCTCATGTGTTTGTCTAGACTGTTTGAGAAAGGGAAAGTTTGGTGCTTTCCAGTGAGCATGCCTCAAAGTTGGCCTTCCTCTTCTATACAGGATTCAGAGCCTGGCTCATGGAAGGCATTCAGACATTGATAACATCACTCTCCTCACCAGCCTTTAAGAACTTTTCTTTTGGGGCACCTGGGTGGCTTAGTCATTTAAGCATCTGACTTTGGCTCAGGTCATGATTTCGCAGTTCATGGGTTCGAGGCCCTCATCGGACTCTGTGCTGACAGCTCAGAGCTTGGAGCGTACTTTGAATTTTGTGTCTCCCTCTCTTTCTGTCTCTCCCCCAGTCACTCCCTGTCTCTCTCTCTCTCAAAAATAAACATTAAAAAAAAAAAAGAAGTCTTCTTTTGTTGGTGGCACCAGGCCAACTTGTAATGAGATGCTTGTTACAAGTTCACTTTTGTGCCCACCATCCCCAGCTGTGAGTTGTGTGGGTTACAGCATAAGAAAAACCAACCATTTACTAGAGCCAGGTATCATTAAAGTCAGATGTTCTCGGGAAGACAAATGGCCCTTCATGGTATTGCTAACTGTAGTGGTCACCAGCATGGGCTCTGGAGGCAGAATGCCTGGGTTTGAGCCCTGTCAGCTGTGTGTAACTGGTTTCAGTAGTCTTTTTTTTTTTTTTTTAATTTTTAAAAAATATTTTATTTATTTCTAGGAGAGAGAGAGAGAGACAGCGTGAGCAGGGGAGGGTCAGAGAGAGAGGGAGTCACAGACTCTGAAACAGGCTCCAGGCTCTGAGCTGGCAGTCAGCACAGAGCCCGACGCGGGGCTCGAACCCACAAACTGCGAGATCATGACCCAAGCGAAAGTCGGTCGCTTAACCGACTAAGCCACCCAGGCACCCCTGGTTTCAGTAGTCTAAACTGGTTTCCTAGTCTAGAAATATGACTGCTTTTCTGATGAGGTTGTCAAAAGGGTTCAGTGAGTTTGGAGTGCCTCAGTTAAGTGCTTGGCTGGAGCTTGCTCAGTGAGAGGTTTTAGTGCCATGTGTGTGATAGTCCAAGAAGCCGCCTTCTCCCCAATATGGATTGCCTGTCCTCATGTATTCCTATGTGCCTCGGACCTACACTGATAACCTGTCCTCCCCCACCTGTTAATGATCACTGAGGAAGGGGAATGCCGTTACTCCTTCTGTGCCCAGCACAACATCTGGTATAGAGTTGTGTGTTAATTACCCATTAGGTGGATGACTGATGCATCTACTTTAATCATCTCTGCATCTCTCCCCCCCTCCAAATGCCTGAGACAGTGTTTGAAGAGTGGGCTGATTCTTCTTGGAGGGTGCAGATTATTTGGAGCCTGCATTTCCCGTAATACCAGTATACATGTCATTCTCTGTGGTTTTTCTCCTCATTGCCCTTGTATAAAATTGTGCAGATTTCACATGGAAATCTGGATTTCTGGCTGTGCTTACCCTATTTGAGGATGGGGCTCCATGGGGTCATTCTCCTGCATTGGTCCTTTGGGACAGAGGAGATAGACAGCTGTGCCTGGTGCCCAGTTTGCCCCACCCTCAATCATCCAACCTTATTCTGTGTTGCTTCTGCCTGGCCCTTGGACCCTGGATCTTAAGACCCCCACTATGCTGTCCCTGCTGACTGATTTGGAAACAGACTCACCCTTTTCCACCTATGAAGGCGGTAGTTGTGGTAGATACGAGGATCCCATCACCTGTCATGGTTGATGTCATGCTCTCCACAGTCACTTCTTGAACATTTAATCTGCAAAGTGACAGCATCATGGGCTAGTTCTGGCTCCACAAATCAGGTTGGGCAGCAGAAGTACCCTTGAAGCAGCCATTTAACAACTTACCAACCCATTCATTCCCAAGACTCCCTAGCTCCCTTACCCACCCTGCTCTATAAGCTGAAGAAATCTTGATCATATTTCCCTCTGAAAGGGCACCCTTTCAGCACAGAACTAGAATATTGCTTCATGAAAATGTGATTGTCCCTTTCTATGAGATTGTTGGAGGTTGAACTTCAGTGTCCCCAAACAGCAGCTCTCTTCTTGTGCCAGACCGTAGGATCAAGTAATCACTTACCCCAACAAGAGTTCTTCTATGTTAACATTATCCAGCAGGCCTGTGACTGCATCACCAATGCCTCCTGGCACTACACTGTTCAGCATGCCCTCGGTGGATTCTGTGAGCTTGCCAGCTTGGCTAACCACGTCATTCAGGGGTAGGGGGAGATTTGGGAGATCAAGGGCCAATCCCTTTACAGGATTCTTCTCTGCGCCAATGGGTAGTAGGCTGCCCAGAGTCTTTTGGATATTGAGGGCATCAGTGGCTTTTGAGACCGATGGCAGTGGGAGCTTTGGGGACTGGCCACCACTTTCCTTGTTCAGGATACCACCAAGAAGTTCACCTCCAGGTAGGCTGAGGGATGAAGTGAGGTCTACCATAGACAGTAGGTTGGAGTTAGACAATGTGGATATCACTGTCCCAAGCACACCAGCTAGATTTATCTCCTCACACATCAGCATCTTCTTGATCTGTGCGGGCAGCGTGGCATTTAGATCTGCAAAGGGTCAAGAGACATGATCTTGCTGTTGGCTGTCCAAATGATTCAGCCAGAGGAACCTTCTCAGCTGGAGAGCCAGCACCTCTGAATTGTGAGGCCCTTAGCTACTATATATCATGCCTTCTGGATATATCACTCCCTGCCACTGCCCACTACAGGACAGCCTGGTGATGCAGAGATAACCTGTTCCCTGTTACAAGAGTTAACATTTATTAACCGCTTACCTGAGGCCAACCTAGTGTTGAGTACGTTACTTTAAAGTGGTTTGACATGGAATGAAAGAACTTAGTTTAGCTCTTGAGCCCAGTAGCCCTGAGTCTAGTCCAGTAGCCCTGAGTCTAGACTTTGTTCCTTGAAGTCGAGGTGGCCTGGGGCAGAGTATTCTCTTTCCTGAGCCCCAGTCTCTGCACCTGTCTAGGAATGCATGATAGAACCTGCAGCATGGGTCAGTGGGCACAGGACAAATGTTGAGCTGGTTTTAAGTACTGAGTAGGGTTGAGGTGGCTAGCGAAGAGGTGGTGGAGCTGACAGATCTGACTCCTCTATTCTCCATCTGTGTGACTCTATGTGAGTCTCTTCTCTAGGCCTCATTTTCCCCTTGTGGGTCATTGGGAGGTCTTGCCACCTTTGACATGCTGCCCATACTAAGAGAACTCCTGCATCAGCACAGATCCTCCAGCATTTTTATCATCAGGGTGGAGGAGGTGCTCACCATGTCTTTGCCTCCACCCTTTAGACAAGCAGGGCAGGGAGAAGTGGGATCCCAGAAGATGGTGGGGAAGGAAAGAGGGTCAAGAGCCCACTTGGAAAACTGTGAAGTCACAGGGGTCCTGTCCTATCATACTGCTCTCAGTGGCCTGAGGAAAGAACTCAGAAGAGAAGCTATTACATCTGGATGGTGGTCAACCTGCCTACCTCAGCAAAGATCTTAATTGGACTAAAGGACAACATTCCTATCCCAGAAAGAGTAGCAGAAGGAAGCCCACCAGTACCAGCCCTGCTGAGCTGGTGGACTTTAGTTTTTGGAGCCTTGCTGCCGCTTCGCATGCTTGGGGTCCTACACTCTGGAGAGACTTTGTCTGTGTAGAGTGATGTGGGTACACCCCCATCATGGGTTTATGCTCTAGGGAATCTCTTGCACACGAACATCAAGAGACCCATACAAGGGTGTTCAGGTCAGTATTGTTGGAGCAGCACAGAATGAGACAGAACAGAAATCGAATAGATGCATAAATTGTGCAGGATTCATTCAGTAAAATACCATGGTGAAAACGAATGGAAAGTCTTTCTCATTACAACATGGATCAGTTAACTCAGAAACAAGATTGAGAGGCAGTGCCTCAATTTTTTGGGAAAACTTTATAACATGTAGTGCGGTAAGGAATAGCTGCCTGTCACAACATATAGAGAAATGGCAAGGGAAGAATAATCAGACCCAAGGTCTCTTCCGGGGTGGGGGAGGAAATAGGGGGAGAGGGAGGCACCCCTGCAGGAGCCCTGGGGCCCTCAGCCCTATGGCTGGACTTTATTCCTTAATTTCAGGTGTGGGTGCAAGAGTATTTGCTGTGTATATGTATTTTTTTTTGTATGTCTGACAAAATTAACAACCACCACCACCAAATCACTGTTTGTTGGATATACAACTATTATTATTATTATTTACCACTGTCTGAGCTGTTCTGTGTATTTCAAATGCCTTGTCATAAGGCAAGATGGTGGGCAGAGTGGAGGGAATGTTTCTAAAGACGCAAAGCAGTGGATGTGTGAGCTGTGGGTCTGGGCACTGTGGTCTAGACATGGTAGGGACCAATTCCCCCTCTGCCACCTCGTCCTGTCACTGTGGAGGGCTGGCTGCAGAAGGCTGTTGCAGGGGGCTTTGTGGACTTTCCTAATGGCCTTCATTTGCTATGAGTCCTACTCCCTTCTTGGTCCCCAAGGAGAGTTTTCTTTGCCAAGCCTTGTAATTCCTGATCTCCTCTGCTCTCTGGCCCTGAGAGACTGCCAGAGGACAGAATTCCACATCTCTTTGAAGAGGAGGCTGAGACTCAAGAACGGTGTGAGAGGGAGTTTGGAGAGAGCAAATCTGGTCAGGGGGTTTGGTAGTGGACTTGGACTTCCCATTTCTTGGCTCCTTGTCAACCAGGTTGATGCTCTAAGCACCTGTGGGTGTTTGGGATGAGCTGTGGGGCCCAGCATTGGGAAGCCGTGAGGGGTCCTGGCAGTGTACAGGTGATAAGGGTCACATAAAAGGCAGGTAGCCAGACATTTGGCTGGATCCAAGAGCTCCCTTCTCCAGGGTTGCTTTGACCAGTCCTTCCCCATGTTTGGACTACAGACACGTAGCTTCACATCATCTTGGAGCTTATTAGAAAACCAGGTTTTCAGGCCCACTGCAATACTGCTGTATCACAATGTGTGGGAGTGGAGCCCAGGCAGCTGGTTTGTTAACAAGCTCCCAAGGTGATTGTGATGCCTTCTCCTGATTGAAGGTGTGATTAGCTTTTGGCCTTGGCAATGAGAAGTGTGTGTGAGGAGGTGGAAAGTCAAAGGTGAGCAGGTGAACCAATTTTTACTTACATTCCTCGAGTTTGCTGCTAGACATGAAGTACCTGGCCACTGGTAGACACCTGCCTCCTGGGGTCCTGCTTGGAAGTTTCGTAGATGGAGAGCCTTTTGGGGCACCTCTGAGCAGTGGTCCAAGTGGCGGAGTGAGAGGAACTGTTTTGGTGACCTCAAGAGGTAATTGAGGGAGATTTCCCTCTAGTAAAGATGGAGGCAGCACGTTAAGTGCTCTTGCCTGGACGGTCAGTGTGATGACGAGGGCCCAGAGGGTCAGCATCTTGGCGACTGATATCTGCAAAAGCAAGTTCTTTTAGAGACCATGCTCCCAGTGGACCATAGGGGTGCCAGTATGTTTGTATTGGACATGCACCTACAAGAGTTCTCGCTCTTGTGGAAAGGTGCCACTCACATTGTTGATATTCTAGTCTGTATATTGTATTCATCACACAATGTTCTATCATATGGCAAAGTCTTGTTTTTTTCCCACATGTTTTTCAACTTTGCATAAAGATGTTCACAGGCTAGTGGCAGTCTTTGAGTACAGGTCAAGTCCTGCCAACAGCCTTACCTCTGTGGTCCACATCCTCCTGCCAGGCTTCCTTTCTCAAATACCCTTGGAGACATCTCAGTTACCAGCTGGGGAATTCAAGAATTTTGAATGATCCAGCTACAAAAGTTGTTGCTCCAATGGTGGCCAAGGTGTCTCCCAGCTTTTGGTCTGCTAATATAGAGCACTGTTCTTGTTCGTATGAGCTTTCCATATGCCAACCCCTTTGCGGAGAGTAAGTGGACATTAGCTGCTCTAAATTCTCTACACAACCCTGAGAAGGAGGGTATATCCTTATTTTATAGATGGTAAAACTTGTGGTACAGAGTAGCCAATATGCTTACCTGTGCCCTCTGGCCAGTTTCCAGCTGGTCGTTTTGCCCAATCAGAATGAAATCACCCCACTGAATCAGACCCATGCTTGGCACCCTCCACCCATTTGGTCACTGGGCTGTCCTGGCATTTCAGCTCAGTTCATTTCATAAAGAGGCCAGAGCCATCTTTATGTCAGTATGGCCATCTTTATGTCAGTGTGACCATCTCATGCCCTCTCTTGTCTTTTTAAAGCCTGTTTCCATGTTCTGGGAGAGCATTAGCATGGTCCTTTGGTGGCATTGGACCATCCTCATTATTGTGTTGGTGGCTGGCACACAGGAGGCTCCTCTCTGTGTGGATTGATGATCAAGTTAGCTCATTTCCCACTTTCTGTAGCCTCTTCTATTGCAGGGCACTGGTGGTCCTCCTGACCATGGAGCATGTGGCTTTTTTTCTTGGCCAGGGTTGAGAAGCCAGAACTGTTATGTAAACTTGTAAGTCCTGACTTTACCTCTCTTTGTTGAGATGTATCCATACATATCTGCTTATAGAGTACTGGTCAGTGTGCTAAGCACTTCGTCCACAGTATCTTCTATAATTTTCACAGCAAATCTAGATATGATGATTTTATTACCCTATTTCCAGCTGAGGAGACATAGCCTCAGCAAGAAGGTAGAGAGCTAGGTCCACCCAGGAAGAAAACCCCTGTTTGACTCTGAGCTCAGTTGTGTAACTCAGTGGTAATTGCTTCCCTTCTCTGGCCATCAGATTCCTCCCTTACAATGATTCTCTCAGGTCTTTCTCTCTCTAATTTTTAAGGTAATATAGAGGTTTGTATCTTGGGGTATTTTCTCTCAGTAAAGCTAGTAGACTCTGGAGTTCCTCTCTGCATCTCTTACCCAATCAAGTTTTGTAAAATCAGACTCAATCACCCTCTGCTCTTGCCATACATAGGCATTGTCCAAATCAGGTTGCCTGCCATTTATCAAGACTGAGAAGAATTGGGCGCCTGGGTGGCTCAGTCAGTTAAGTGTCTGACTCTTGATTTTGGCTCAGGTCATGATCTCACAGTTTGTGAGATCGAGCTCTGCATTGGGGTCTGTGCTGACAGTGTGGAGCCTGGCTTGGGATTCTCTCTCTCCCTCTTTCTCTGCCCCTCCCCTGCTTGCACTCTCTCCCCCTCTCTCAAAATACATAAATAAACTTAAAAAAAGACTTAAAAATAAACTTAAAAAAGACATTCATTATTGATGAAATGTTGGGAAAGACATAATGGGAAGCCAGTGACATCTTTCATATGAAGCAAGTTAGGCTCTAGGAGAAAACTCATCACATTTTCATTACTTTTCTCATTTTACCCTTACCTGTGAGAAATTAGAATTTAGTGAGAAGGTGACTCACATTAAGTGTCCTGTGAGGGAAAAAAATAATAAAATTCTCTGCCTGTTATTGAATCTGTGGCAGAATTGTTAGATATTGTCTTGAATGGATCATTAAAAAATCTCAGGAAAGATCCCCCATTAAAAAAATTAATTAGTTTAAAAATTCATATCCAACTTAGTTAGCATGTAGTGCAACAGTGATTTCAGGAGTAGATTCCTTAATACCCCTTACCCATTTAGCCCATGCCCCCTCCCACAACCCCCCTCCAGCAACCCTCTGTTCTCTGTATTTAAGAGTCTCTTATGTTTTGTTCCCCTCCCTGTTTTTATATTATTTTTGCTTCCCTTCTCTTATGTTCATCTGTTTTGTTTCTTAAATTCTTCATATGAGTGAAATCATATGACATTTGTCTTTCTCTGACTGACTAATTTTGCTTAGCATAATACCCTTTAGTTCATCCACATGGTTGCAAATGGCAAGATTTCATTCTTTTTGATTGCCAGGTAATACTCCATTGTGTGTATATACCACATCTTTTTTATCCATTCATCTGGCGATGAACATTTAAGATCCCCTACTTTTTAAAAGAAGATTTTATTTTTAAGTAATTTCTATACCCAATGTGGGGCTTAAACCTACAACCCCAAAATCAAGAGTCACACACTGTACCAACTGAGCCAGCCAGGTACCCCCAAAAGATCCCCCATTTTTAAAAGCAGTTATGAGGAAATGGTTAACACCTATCACGCTAGGTACAGTGCTGTGCATTTCAGTAGGGAGGGGCATTTCAGTAGGCACGGGCATTGCTAAAGAAATGCTAAATGCAAAATTGTAAGTAGTTCTTTCTTGAACTGTCCTATGCTTGTTTCTGGCTCAGAGTTTTGACCTTCTCTTTTATGAAGTTTTAAAAACTATTTTGAGAGAGAGAGTGAGAGCAGGGGAGTGGCAGAGAGAGGGGGAAAGAGAATTCACTCTCTTTCACTGTCAGTGCAGAACCGGATGTGGGGCTCCATCGCACAAACCATGAGATCATGACCTGAGCTGAAATCAAGAGTTGGACACTTAACCAGTGGAGCCACCCAGATGCCCCTCTTTTGTGAATTTTGATGTAGCAAATTCTTACCTTGTCCAACGTTGATGGGTTGATGTTAATGGGAGAACGTTTTTGGAAGCTGCCTCCCTTCCGGTTCTCGCCTGTGAACTGTCAGAGGAAAGCTGCATCCCATTTTATAGACCGGTGTCTCTCACATAAGTTGTCAGACACAAAGGGGCATGATCCACGTGTGCTGATAAGGGTGGCGTGGTATATGCTGACTTCCAAGATCAACACCTGCTAATGGTTGTGACATTTGTCAGCGTCTTTCTGAGAGATGTTTAGGGTGCTGGGAACTTTTTTGGAGATGCAGCCAGGCCAAGTATCTGTCCCTTCCTTATTTTAAACCTTCACAGCCTATTATCTTTGAGCCAGGTGGGTGCTGGGTGACTGGCAGAGTCAAGGGGTGTGTAAATCTGGCAGGTGCCAACCTAGTGAGAACCCTTTATGGTGCCAGTGGCATGCCCTGGCCATGGTTGGCACTCAGCATTGACCAGTGGTAGGTGGGGATCTGAGGGAAAGGGATGGGGTCCCTCTGGAGAGGGCGTTTAGGGACAGACTTCTGGTCAAGTGACATTTTATGTGAGACGTGTGTGATTAGAAGGGTCCAAACATGCAAAGATTTTGGGGAGAAGTGATGGACACAGGAAGGCTGGAACATACACAGTGTCTGCAATGGGTGAGAGCATGAAGGCATGTCTGGGGGTTTTAGGCATGGGAGTTATAAAATTTGCTCAGCCCCCTTTTCATACTTGGAATGAAACTTGAATAATGGTGATCATTTGTATTCAAGAATTTTAGGCTCTTTCTTGGGGCGCCTGGGTGGCTTAGTCGGATAGGCATCCGACTTTTGCTTAGGTCATGATCTCGCGGCTCGTGGGTTCGAGCCCCACGTCGGGCTCTGTGCTGACTGCCGGCTCAGAGCCTGGAGCCTATTTCAGAGTCTGTGTCTCCCTCTCTCTCTGACCCTCCCCTGCTCACCTTGTCTCTCTCTCTCTCCTAGAAATAAATTAAAAAAAAAAAAAAAGAATTTTAGGCTCTTTCTCAACTGTCATCTCATTTAATGGCTTCTCAAACTCTAGAGACTGTTCTCTGGGCCTCTGACCTCTATTTCAGAGAAAGCCTAGTCGTCTGTTAGGTTCCTACCACTTGAAATTTTGTGATTTTGTACATCCTATATGATCAGGCTGTGGTATTACTACAGCTTTACAGTGCAAGAGAATAGGAGAGGGAGATAATTTTGACTAAGGGGTTGGTTAGTCAAAATCATCTCCTGCCTCTGTCTACCTGAAGTTTAGTCCAGAATTAGTCCGGATCCCTGCCCTCAGGCAGGCTCAGCATGTTTGCTTCAGGGCCCTCTTCAACCCCATAGGAGTTCTCATACTGTGAACCTCAGCTATAGTTTGATTTGCCAAATGCCCCATTTGGGGCTTTGCTGAAATATCAGATGCATAGAACAAATGACAGTTGCCCTTTTCTCAAAAGGCAGAACATAAGAGTTTTATATATGATGATAAGTAGAAGACAAAACCCAGCTGTCTCAGGTCTTATTTTTCTTGGACATATGAGGGAAATGGAGTCATCTTTTAGGCAAAATTTGTGACATCAGTTGGTGGATGTGGCCTGCGATTTCAGTTCCTTCAGTGGTTCTCTGGACCCAGTGAATGACTCCAACTCCAGGGGGTGGGAAAGGGCACATCCTGGATGCAGCCCCTGATGGCCTCTGGGACCTCCCCATTCTTTGTCTTTCTCTCCTTCAACCTTTGGAGGTGGGGCAGCCATTGGATTCTGCTAATCCACAATCTATGGGAAGCTCTTTCACTCAGGGTGGCTTATCACACTGGGCAAAGGGCCTGCTTGTTCCCCAAGCCCTGAGTGATTCGACCTGCTGATTCTTGAAAGAGAGGACCCTTTCAAGGCTGGCCAAGTCTTGGCTGAG